TTATATTTATTTTTGAAAATATCACTAAATCCTTCCTATCTTTTAGGTCTACTTAGGCCTTATAGTATTGTATTTCATTCATTTTAATTCCGTACTACTTTCTCATCTACTAGAACCACATTAGCGTATTTTCTATTTTTTTAAAAGTCAAAAATAGACGAAGTAAAGTAGATTAATAAATCCTTCGAGGTCTTTCTCAGCAACCAGTTCTGTAGATTAGGCAGACCCACGCTAAGAACCGATTAAGAAAAAATAATCCAGTGGACGAGTCTGCTAACTTGATCATTATCAGAGGGTGGGCAATTGTGTTGACTAAATTTGATACTATATAGCAAGGATCCTTACCTAATAGCAAAAAAAGTGACTATAAAGTTGTGTAATTTGATCAAAGTAAATATGTACATTCATATGCTTAGTATGGTCTAATAAGTTAGCAAATTATTTAATTTTGAGGAAAGCCCTTCTTCCCGTAAGCACAAATAGCCACATTAATCCACTTTCTATTAAGGGCTGAGGATAGTAATTACGAAATTCTTCAGTGAAGCTGAACTGACAGTTTATTTTAGAAATCATAATTACATTTTTAGAATGCCCTGTGCTATAATGCTTATTTTACTAGAAACTATAATATTTCTGGTCGATTTTGACTGTTCTATAAATCTGCGCTTAATACCTTCCCAAAAAAATACGTCATACTAAAAGTATGAACTTATTTCTACTGGGAAGCCTCATGAAGTTTGTGTGCACATTGTGCCGCTATTTTGTCATCTGCTCTGCTTAACTTTTGTCTTGACGGTAAAAATGCGAAAAGTATTTTAAGATGTGCATGATGATAATCAAAATCGCCTACCGGGACGAGCAATGGAGTCGCCTTGTATTTAATGTGACGACCACCCAGCATCAGCAGGAAGGGTTCAATTATGTCGGTTCTATCTATGCGCGAGATGAGCTTATCCACCACCTGAAGGACACGGAGACCGTGAGCCTGGAGTCGAGGATCGTTGCGCATTTCATTAGAATCTCGCCCACGAAAGCTGGCGAAAGCATCCCGGAAATCAGAGTGTTGTTCGAAAATCCTACAAAATAATAATCCCTTTAGAATTCGTTTAAATAGAGATGACAGTAAAATGGCGTTAATGCATATTTGGTCGTTTAAGTTCCAATGGGTTAATTGGTCATATACG